TTTTTTTTTGGTTTTTTTTTTAAATTTGAGTAATGTGTTAGCATATTGTTTAGCAAAATAAATCCACTTAACTGATTAGAAACATAACATATTTAAAGGGAGAAGAAAGATCCCAGATCCATATGTACGGCAAAACCACTATAAATACATTTCGTAGTGGCCCTGAGATCTATTTTGTTTTCAGTGCATATCAGAGTTTTCAAAAATGACAACTTCTTGTGATCATATGCTCTCGACTTGCTCAAATACTCTGTCGGTCTGGGCAAGATGCCACATGTTTAAGAGCAGTTTCGGACAGATTGGCTACGTCTATGGATCCACAGTTAAATCTATATCACCTCCAGACCCCTTTTCTGGAAAAAAAGAGAGAGAGAAGAGACAGAAACCTCAAGTTGAGAAAGAAAAACAAGAAAATTATCTACACGAGTGCTACCACAACAAATTTAATGTCCTTTCAAAACGGTGAGAATTATTCTATGGCGAATTATTCCTACAGAAATGTTTTTTGTCTTTTAGCATTTTGGTTCTCACACTCTACCTATTATCAAAGTTTCTCTAAAATATATAACTGGCATATTTTATATTTTTCTAGAATGATGTTAGTAAAGCTGATAACTGAACAGTCCTTTATTCTCTTTCACTAGTATGTATTTTTCAAATAATGGGAAAGCCATCAAGAGCGGATTTCACTCTCAATGCACCTCACTTCTAAGGACCACGTGCTACTTATGAACAAGATCATGCGATAACCAGTAACTTCCAACAAATTGAATCTTATCACGAGATAAACTAAAAACCCAGAAAGAAATTCTGAGAGATCATTTAATATATGAAGGTCACTTGAATGTATGAGCTAGTCAACGCTGAGAAAATTCTTTAAAATCCTTTAAAATATAAATTTATCATATTCACAACTTAACTTTCAAGATTAATTCAACCCACAAACAAATTTTCTATGATATTTCAAGAAATCCTCTTCTTCATTCTTTATTCCCAGATGCACATTTAACATTTTTAGCTAAAAATTTTCTACTACTAACATCCAAGGAAATTGATAAACCATTTTTGTTTGAGGATTCAGAATAATGGTACCTTTAAGGCTTGGCAATCTGTTGATAAAAGCTATTTTCTTTTAAAGACACAAATCACCTTCAATTGTAGTCTAATCCAATGACATGAAGTAGAGATCTTTCCCCACTGTTTGGAATACAGCCTAACAAAAGGAACCTTTGGATTACCACCAATTCTTTGTTACAGACACAAAATGATTAAAATCAGAAAGGGACCGTAGATACACCAGAAAAAAATGGTAAACAGTGAAAAACTAAGCCTCTTGAAAGTGTGGCAATCTGATTTTGTAGTGAAGAATCACCCAAGAACATTTTTTATCCTTCCAATACTCATTTCTCTGGAACATCTCTACTGGAGCGTCCCATACCGGGAGTAAAGTAGCCTTTTCCAATTTTCAGCTCCCAGTCTCCCACAACTTTGGTGTCTGATGCCTTTGTCAAAGGGCTCCTGTGCAAACACATTATCCACGGTGAGCCACAGATCCTTTACTAAAGACTTACTGAAGAGGGATATTTCTCCTATATTCCTTTCAACAAATAACAGCATTGTGTGTATGTATGAAGTCTATACAGAAATTGATTCATGATGAAAGGGCGGGCCTACGCCAGCCGACTCCATCTTGTTCTGTGTCCTTCACCTTGACCACACCTCCTCCCCTTGAGTAACCCCCCCTCACCTGCCTAACAGGACTCGGACCCTTCCCCAGGACCCTTCCCCAGCCAATCGTCTGAGGCCATAGCCATTACCTCACCAACTGCCCCCAGGCCCCAATAAAACCTTTGTCCTTTTGAAACTCGCTCTTTCCCTGGTATCTCACCGCTGCGTCGGTGCAGGTAGGGGATTGAGCTCGAGCTAGCTCGAATAAAGGCTCTTTGCTTTTGCATCAGACTCGGCTCCCTAGTGGTCTTTGGGGATCACGAATTCTGGGCATAACAATGAGACATATTCTTACAATAAAATGAAATCTCTCAGATACAAAAAAAAAAAAAAAAATCCTTAAAAAATGCAATCAGATCACAGTGACTTGACCAAAAAAGTCATGCGTAATTTAATACCTCACAATATCCACTTGTAAAGGAAAACCAGCTTATTTGTAGACACATATCTAAGAGTTCTTTCAAATTTGAGGAAAGGATCACTTAATAAATAAAATTAAGAACCAAATTTTAAAAAGTAAAGCCTTATCCATAAGTAGCTTCTATATTTGCTAACTGATGTAAAAGCCAGTTGTGTCTATACTATTTTATGACCACTCTGAGTTGCCTTACATAGTTCGCTATTTGGCAGGCATAGGGTAGTTTATCCAAATAGAATCCCATATGTGTACATCTATGCATTTGGCTGTGGATTCTTGAAAAGTAAAGAATGGAAAAGATCAGAATGTAAAAGAAAAACTTCAGTAAATACTTATGCAACCTAAGTGAAGCAAGCTGTTATTTTTGACAAGTAAACAAAAACACGAAATTAATATAAGAAGGTGAAGAAAGATGTTCAGTGGTTTTTCACAGTGGAAAAATTTCAAATGACCTAAATGTGCACCGCTACAAGAAATGGTTTACCAAATGACTGACCATTTGTGTCATGTAAGATTATGCAAATATGGCCTTCTGGCTGTGGCCAAGATGGAGTGAGTTGACTATAGCCTGCCTCTCTTCTACTTGCTACAACTAAAAATTCTGGAAAGTATACAAAAAGTAACCGTGGGCTCTGAAAAGTAAATGGGAACAGGCAGATTGAGGACTGAAGTAAAAACCTGAATAATGACTCATAACAGGGGTGGATTCACAGATGTTTCTTTCCTTCCCTCCTTCCTCCCTTCCTTCCTTCCTTCCTTCCTTCCTTCCTTCCTTCCTTCCTTCCT